AGCTGGGCCAGTCCCAGCCACTGTGCTTCTACTTTTTAAATGTATTAAGAGCCTTGTCAGCTCTTAATACATTTAAAAATCAGAAGCACCGTGGGAGGAGGGGGGAACCTGGCTCGAGCCAAGACAGGGGATTCCTGGCTCACTCTGGGTCCCTGCACTGCGCACCAGCTTTTAAAATGTATTAAGAGCTCTTAATACATTAAAAAGGCTAAAGCACAGCAGAAGGAACCCAGCACTAGCTGGGATAGCTGATTCCCGGCTCACGCCAGGTCCCCCCTGCTGTGCACCAGTGTTTTAAGTGTATTAAGAGACTGTCAGCTCTTAATACATTTAAAAGGCTAAAGGGCAGCAGGAGGGATCCCCAGCTGATTCCCAGACCAGGAGCTAACCCTCCCTGCAGCTCCCTCACTTATCAATTAATCCATCAGCTAGTCGATTAGTTGATTAAACTAAATTTAACATCACTATCCTGCATACAGCCCAAATTTCTGTTCCTGGTGAGCCCGACTCGTTAATAAAATCAGTGAGAATCTGGGGTGCACAAGGAACGCAGGATGTGACTCAAAATTTGCGTTGGTATTCTTACCCTAATCCTTGTCTAAGGAGTCACCTACATATCAAAATCGTGGTGCTTTAATAGTTCGTGCCTTATGCTTGTACAGTTAACATAGTACACCGCACTCAGATGTGCAGTTACACAAGTAAAAAGGTGCTTACAGCAATATAACTTATTCCCACTAATTCAGCGGAATAAACTATACTGGAACCAAGGCACTTTATTACCTGTACAATTGGGTCTGCCCTGGGGGTTGTACTAATGTATCTACTTTTGTAAAAAATAAAATAAAATCACGCTCTTAACTGAAATAGTTAAATCAGTACAAAATCTGTGCAGAGAGCTGGCCTAACTCTTCAGACACTCACCGCCCACTCTCTTAGCCTCATTTAGCACAGACACTTTAATTGACAGCTTTTTTTCTCCTCCCTCTTTCCCCTCTTTTTCTGCTTTTTATTTGTCCCTCTGTGCCCCTTGCTCCATTCATCTGTCATCTGAAGAAGTGAATTGTGCCCACAAAAGCTCATGATACCATCTATATTTTTGTTTGTCTCTATGGTGCTACAGGACCACTTGTTTTTTAAGCGTTTTTTTTTTTAAAGTTACAGACTAACATGGCTACCCCTCTGAGTCTTTTTAATAGGTTCACACTTTCAGAGCTGAGACAGAGCCTTTCCCAGCTAGGCTCCCAGTTCAAATCCAGACTGAGAGCAGTGATCCAAAGACATCACCATCTGGTGGCTGTCCGATGTGAAATGAACTGGCAGTCTCAATTAGGGATGTGAAAGGTTAACCAGTTAACCCTTAATGGGTGTTGCTTACTGGTTCCGGTTAACTGGTGGGGGCTGGAGCAGGGGGTTGCTCCAGCCCCACGGGCCTACTGTAGATAGGGGCTGCTCTGGGCATCCAGAGGCGCGCCTGTCCATGGCGGCCTACACACAGTGGGAGTGTGGTCGCCCAGCCTAGCTGTGGCTGGAGAAGGGAGGGGAACAATGCTTCAGCCAAGCTGGGCTGCAGTTCCCCCCCTTAACTGGTTAACAGGTCAAACTTCACGTTTAACTGGTTACCCGATTAAACAGGATTTTACATCCCTAGTCTCAGTCCATAGCCTCGGGGACAATCTAGAAAATTAAATAAGGAATTTCCTGCTAACTCCCCCCTCAGTGTTTGACCTTCATTAATTTCAGCTTCTGCCCTCCTGTTTAGAACTGGTCTTGTATTTTTTGCCAAAACTTTTTTTTCTCTCAAAAGAAGGCTTATCTGTAAAAATCAAACTATTCGTGGAACAGGTCAGTCTTCACAAACCTCCCATTTCAAAACATTTTGGGAAGGTAAAAGTTTGGACATTGTCAACACATCACTTTTTGATGTTTTCAGATTAGAAAGTTTCATTCTGGAGGGTCAACGTAAATATTTGTTTTGAAAATTTTGAAAATTTAGAAAATTTCCACAAAAAGAGTTAAAAAAATAAAGAGGTTGAATTTTTTTTTAATTATCTAACCCGAATGTTTCTATCAATCAAAATTGATAATTTTTAAGTGTTTTCATTTTCAGGGTTTTGACTTTTCATCCTGATTCTGGTTGGAGAAATTTGTGGAATCCTGAAAATTCCCTATTCCTGATTTTGAACTTGTGCCCTTCGTTTTTGCAGTTATATGCGACTAAATCACATTGCCTCTTAATTGCCACTTCTTTGGTGAAAATAAATGTAATTATCCAGACTGCTCTTCAGAGTTGTAAGGCAAGAGACTCTATGATCCCTGTATTCATCTTCAGTATCTTTTCCAAATCTTCTGCATTTAACAAACTACATTAGAGGTTCCCTCACCAGTCATACCTATAGGGATAAAATGATGGTATCTTCTGATTGTTCCAAACCTCAGATAATCACATGGGCACCGCATGGCTCCAACTCACTTCACAGATCCCTGTTCAGGTGCACCATAGGGCTACGTCTACACTGGCATGATTTTCTGGAAATGCTTTTAACTGAAAAGCTTTCCGTTAAAAGCATTTTCGGAAAAGCGCATCTAGATTGGCAGGACGCTTTTCCGCAAAAGCACTTTTTGCGGAAAAGCGTCTGTGGCCAATCTAGATGCGCTTTTCCGCAAAAAAGTCCCGATCGCCATTTTCGTGATCGGGACTTTTTTGCGGAAAACAAATCTCTGCTGTCTACACTGGCCCTTTTGCGCAAAAGTTTTTTGGAAAAAGACTTTTGCCCGAACGGGAGCAGCACAGTATTTCCGCAAAAGCACTGACAACCTTACATGAGATCGTCAGTGCTTTTGCAGAAATTCAAGTGGCCAGTGTAGACAGCTGGCAAGTTTTTCTAGAAAAGCAGCTGCTTTTCCGGAAAAAGTGGCCAGTCTAGACACAGCCTAGAAGTATAACAGGCTGACCACAGGGTGTGTGATGTAACAGAGCTCAGTGCCTGAGCCATGGGCCCTTCGCTCAGACTGGGTGGTACCTGAAGCTCATGTTACTCATTCTGGGCTGTGAACACTGACTGCAGGCTGGGTGCTGCCTGGGAGCTCGGATCTGTCTGCACAGGAATGCTAGCCCCAGGCTGGCGGTGCCCAAACCTCTCTACATATGGGCCCGTGGGCCAAGCAGGCAGTGCCCAGATCTCTCGGGGTAGGGGTCCTGGGCCAGGCTGGCGATGCCCAGATCTCTCTGGGTAGGGACCTGTCCAGGCTGGGGGTGCCCAGATCTCTCTGGCCAGGGACCCTGGCCCAGGCTGGGGGTGCCCAGATCTCTCTGGCCAGGGACCCTGGCCCAGGCTGGGGGTGCCCAGATCTCTCTGGCCAGGGACCCTGGCCCAGGCTGGGGGTGCCCAGATCTCTCTGGCCAGGGACCCTGGCCCAGGCTGGGGGTGCCCAGATCTCTCTGGCCAGGGACCCTGGCCCAGGCTGGGGGTGCCCAGATCTCTCTGGCCAGGGACCCTGGCCCAGGCTGGGGGTGCCCAGATCTCTCTGGCCAGGGACCCTGGCCCAGGCTGGGGGTGCCCAGATCTCTCTGGCCAGGGACCCTGGCCCAGGCTGGGGGTGCCCAGATCTCTCTGGCCAGGGACCCTGGCCCAGGCTGGGGGTGCCCAGATCTCTCTGGCCAGGGACCCTGGCCCAGGCTGGGGGTGCCCAGATCTCTCTGGCCAGGGACCCTGGCCCAGGCTGGGGGTGCCCAGATCTCTCTGGCCAGGGACCCTGGCCCAGGCTGGGGGTGCCCAGATCTCTCTGGCCAGGGACCCTGGCCCAGGCTGGGGGTGCCCAGATCTCTCTGGCCAGGGACCCTGGCCCAGGCTGGGGGTGCCCAGATCTCTCTGGCCAGGGACCCTGGCCCAGGCTGGGGGTGCCCAGATCTCTCTGGCCAGGGACCCTGGCCCAGGCTGGGGGTGCCCAGATCTCTCTGGCCAGGGACCCTGGCCCAGGCTGGGGGTGCCCAGATCTCTCTGGCCAGGGACCCTGGCCCAGGCTGGGGGTGCCCAGATCTCTCTGGCCAGGGACCCTGGCCCAGGCTGGGGGTGCCCAGATCTCTCTGGCCAGGGACCCTGGCCCAGGCTGGGGGTGCCCAGATCTCTCTGGCCAGGGACCCTGGCCCAGGCTGGGGGTGCCCAGATCTCTCTGGCCAGGGACCCTGGCCCAGGCTGGGGGTGCCCAGATCTCTCTGGCCAGGGACCCTGGCCCAGGCTGGGGGTGCCCAGATCTCTCTGGCCAGGGACCCTGGCCCAGGCTGGGGGTGCCCAGATCTCTCTGGCCAGGGACCCTGGCCCAGGCTGGGGGTGCCCAGATCTCTCTGGCCAGGGACCCTGGCCCAGGCTGGGGGTGCCCAGATCTCTCTGGCCAGGGACCCTGGCCCAGGCTGGGGGTGCCCAGATCTCTCTGGCCAGGGACCCTGGCCCAGGCTGGGGGTGCCCAGATCTCTCTGGCCAGGGACCCTGGCCCAGGCTGGGGGTGCCCAGATCTCTCTGGCCAGGGACCCTGGCCCAGGCTGGGGGTGCCCAGATCTCTCTGGGTAGGGGCCCTGGCCCAGGCTGGGGGTGCCTGGGAGCTGCGCCCCCCTCTTACCCTCCTGCTTGGAACCGCTGCTCCCCTCCGCCATCAGCAGCGTGAGGAGCAGCCCGGGCAGCAGCAGCAGTTGGGGCACCATGGGGGCGGCTTCTGGCGCTCCTGGGCTCCCCGAGGCGGGGCTGCCTGCCGCCCGGCCAACTCCCGGCGCTGCGAGGTTCTCGCTGCCACGCACTAAACACGCCCCTTCGGGGGGCTCCGCCCTGCAGCCCCGGCCCGGCCCCTTCCCTCCTGCCCGGCCGCTGCAGCCTGGGAGAAGGGCCGAGCGCACGGAGAGCTGGAGACCAGCCTGGGGACCATGGCCCGGGCTGAGGTGGGGGCCCGGGCTGGGGACGGGTAATTCTGCGCGGCAGGAGGCTCTGGGGTCCCTGCTCTCCCCGGCTTGTTCTGCAGCAGAGGGAAGTTTGCTGGGATCTGGGATCTGCACTGAGACCAGACAGCAAGTGTTCAAACAAGACAGGGGGGTGGGGGGACAGACCCCCTAGAAGACAAAGCTCCCACTACTGGGACTGCTCCTATGAAATCCGGACATGTGGTCACCTTCGGGGGCTTCAGTCCCTCTCCCTGAGCAGGTGAGTGGAGGACTGCGCACCGCGCGCCTGAGCCTGCACCCCTGCAAGTTTTCGTCTTTACTTTTTAGGCAACAGGATCAGACATTGGTCCTCCAGGCTGCGGTCATCCTATCCCCACCCCAATTTCAGGGGGACTTTATGGGGCACACCTTGTTAAGTCTTGTGGGAAATGTAGGCACATGCCACACAGAGATCGTATATATTACTACTTAGAAATGAATTAATGGGCAATGCACAGATCCCAACTTTGCCAAAGTGCCAGGGGGCAGGAGTCTTCAGAAGAATGCCAGGTTTTGCTTTGGAACCCCCTGGCTACGTCTAGACTGGCATGATTTTCCGCAAATGCTTTTAACGGAAAAGTTTTCTGTTAAAAGCATTTTCGGAACAGAGCATCTAGACTGGCACAGACACTTTTCCGCAAAAGCACTTTTTGCGGAAAAGCATCCGTGGCCAATCTAGACGCGCTTTTCCACAAAAAAGCCCTGATCGCCATTTTCGTGATCGGGGCTTTTTTGCGCAAAACAAATCTCAGCTGTCTACACTGGCCCTTTTGCGCAAAAGTTTTGCGCAAAAGGGACTTTTGCCCGAATGGGAGCAGCATAGTATTTTCACAAAAAGCACTGATTTCTTACAGTAGGAAGTCAGTGCTTTTGCAGAAATTCAAGCGGCCAGTGTAGACAGATGGCAAGTTTTTCCAGAAAAGCAGCTGATTTTCCGGAAAAACTGGCCAGTCTAGACACAGCCCCTCTGTTGTGATTGTGAGGGTGCGGCAGGGAGGAAGTAGTAATAACCAACATCAAAGATGTGCAGAAGTTTCAGGGGGTTAGCCAAGTTCATCTGTACAGGATAAACTTAAAAAACAACAAATGGTCGGGTAGCACTTTATAGACCAGTGGTCCCCAACATGGTGCCCGCCGGGGCATTTATGTGCGCCCACCTAGTCGGGGTCGTGACGCGGGATGGATGGGGGAGGACGGGCTGCATGCGCTGCGGGGCCGAACTCACGCTGTGACATGGGGAAGTGCATGGGGAAGCGCCGGCGGCGGAAGAACCTGCTGAGGAGCGCAGTGGGGAAGCTGCAGGAACAGGGTGGCCGATCCAGAGCAGTGAAATGGCCATGGTGGGGGGTCCAACGCAGGCACACTTGGCATGGGGCCAGCCAACACAGCAGGATGACGTCACCCACTGGTGTGGCGCCGGCCACACAAAAAGGTTGGGGACCACTGTTATAGACTAACAAAACATGTATCTGGGATAAAGGATCTTTCGGAAAAGGCTTTATTTTCCGCAAGATCAGCGTCTAGACTGGCGCTTTTTTCCGGCAAAGCTCCGTGCCGAAAAAAAGCGGCAGCCATTTTTATGCTAATGAAGCGGGGGAGATTTAAATCCCCACTTCATTAGCAATTGCGATACTCTAATTTACATCCCTTTTACGAAAAAGGGTTGTAGTCTAGACATAGCCACATGGTTTCCATTGTCAGCATCCCCACTATAAAAACTGTTCCGCCCTCCGTGTGTGCATTAGAACCCAAGTGAAGCATTTGTAATGAAGATGAGGGAAATGAAACATTTAGTCATTAAAGAAAAAACATTTAAAATGGCCATACGAGGTCAGACCAAAGATCCATCTTGTGCAGTATCCCATCTTCTCACAGTGGCCAATTCCAGGTGCCCCAGAGGGAATGAACAGAAAAGGGAATCATCAAGTGATCCCTCCCCTGTCACCCAGCTTCTGACAACCAGACGCTAGGAACACCATTCCTACCGATCCTAGCTTATAGCCATTGATAGACTTACCCTCCGTAAATTTATCTAGTTCTTTTTTGAATGTTGTTCTAGTCTTGGACTTCACAATATTCTCTGGCAAGGAGTTCCACAGGTTGTCATCATTGTCAAAAATGAGGCTCTAAAAGTGTGAGGAACACTTCCTCACCAGACTATCTAATGCATGTGATCATAAGTGCTGAAACTACTGCTGCTGCATCCCCTGACTTGAAGTGGTTTCCCATATATACAGGGTTTATAGTTTGCTTCAGTGGGTTTCAGCATACCCCATCCCCAACAATACAATCTCAGAATTAAAAATACCAGAGTTAGGAACTGAGCAGTCAACTACACACGTCATTTGGAACCAGAAATACACAATCAGGGATCACGCACACACGCAAAAGCAGCAGAGTACAGTGTTAGATAAACTATTACTTTTTAAAAGGTAAGCAACCCTTTTTTCTTGGGCATAATAAAGTTTCAAAGCTGTAGTGAGTCAATGTTCATTTGTAAACTTTTCAAACAACCATAATGTTTTGTTCAGTTATGTACATTTCAGTGTTACAGTGTTCCCAAGGTGTTTGTAACCCTATTGTATTCCTGCATGTGCTTTGCTCATTTGCACAGACATTATATATGAGAAAGTAGCAGCAGAAAGAGATTACACATAGCTTTGGAATTTTGGGATCATTATTAAACTTTTCCCTTCCACCTGTCGGTTCACATTAGTCATCTCTTACCAGCATAGTACAAAATCTGTTATAATACCATACATAGACACATGGTATGTTTCAGCTACCATTTATTGCTCATTTATTACTTACATTTATTTTTCTGTTTATCATTAAGAATCTGTTTAGATCATTTTTGTTTTATGTAAGTTTTATGTATTTCCCCCCTTGCAGTCCTGCTTAGTTTTGTAACATGGCAGCTTTATGCATTTAATTTTATTACTGATGTAATAAAATATATTTATTTGAAAGGAATGAGGCTTGGGCAGGGGTATGGTCCTTTTTGCAAGATACTGAATATTTGTCCCTTTAGGAGATGAAGAAAAATGTAGTCTAAAAACAGTTTGCACTGAGTAGAACCATCTCTGATACTAACTTGCTATGTGCCTGGAGCAAGTTATTAAATATGTATTTAATACTATATATTTAAATACTATGTATTAATTATTATTATTATTTCAGTAGATCATATAGGCTCCATTAGGGTAGGTACTTTATAAACATATAACAAAGAGGCAATTCCTCCCCCCAAATGCTGACATCAACTGCGAGACAGTACTGGCCAGTATTTTTAAGTAGTTTGCCTCAGCATCCCCATTGGTCAGATGGAAACAATAATACTTACCTGGCAGGTTGGTTATGTGGATTAACTATTTATTGGTTTTAAAACATTCTGAAGATAGAAAATGGACACCATTGTCCTGATATAAAATGAGAAAACTTAATTCATATGGGTGCAAATCCTCAGAAGCCAATGGAGCTGTCTCTCTAGCCAAGATGGAATTTGGCCCGTGGACTGTAAGGGTATGTCTACACAGTAACATTATTTTGAAATAACTAATGTAATTTGAAATAACTTAGTCTGAGTCTACACAGCAGGCAGTTATTTTGAAATAGTGTCAAAATACTGTCAAACTGGAGGACCTTTTACTCCAACTCCTGTAATGCTCATTGTACGAGGAGTAAGGGAAATTGGAGGAAAAGTGCTCTATTTCGAAATAAGTGCTGTGTAGATGCTCCCAATTTCTAAATAAACTATTGTTTAAATAAGCTACGCAATTAACGTAGCTCAATTTGTGTAGCTTATTTCAAGTTAAGCCCTGCAGTGCAGATGCACCCAAATGTGAGGATAGAAATTAGGTCAGGGTAGAGAAAATAGCAGTGGATAGATCAACAGGGGAACATATAGAAATCAGGGGCATAGAACAGGAGATGGTGTAGCACACACAGTAGGATAGAAAAAGGTGCAGTTAGCATCAAAGAAATGGGGAGAGCTTTATTGAGTATAGGGATCAAGTGTCAGAAACTGTATAGTGTATGTCAGGATATTAGCATCAGAATAATTGGCCAGATGCTGATTTCTTCCTGATCAGAAAACTCACAACTGTAAATGAGAAAAGAAACTCACTCTGCGATGCAGAATCCTGTGGTCCAATCCTGCTAATGGAATTTTAGTTCCCTAAGGCCTATGGGTCTCTGAGGGGGGAAAGCTAAGAAGCAAGATCTTGAAAAAAAAAAAAAAGATATCTTGAGATGCAGAGTCTGTGCTTTTATAGTTAGTTAGGACATTCAGTTTTGCTTTATGTAAGAATACTAGCAACCCTGACACCTCAACAAAGAGCCAAAAATCAAATTTTGTTTGTGCAACTGAAGTAAATGCCCAAGTGTTTTTAGATCATCATTGATACCACTCTCTGGACCTAGAGAAGGGATTTTCTTGAGATAGCTGAGTGAACAGAAAATTCTTCAGTGTAAAATAATGTCTCAAAGGTAGCAATATGTTGGGATATGGACTTTCCCTGGAGAGGTAATTTCAGGGAACCTGTCTCTTCAAACCTGCCTGGTCTCATTCATTTTATTTTTAAGGAAGATTCTTTTCCTTGAGAGTTAGCTGAACCAAAACCTTGGATGCAAATCCCAAACAGCTGAACTCCATAAATGCCCCCCCTACCTACACATGACCTTTAAGAGTTATTGTGCTGTAAATACCGAATAAACAATAATAAAAATCTCTGTAACACGGTGGCTGATGCCAGATGTGAGCATGCCAAACACTGGGAAAATTTGGATCTGGATTTCAAACTTCTACAGTAAGTTTAAATATCTCCATTCTAAGAAGAGACATTTCTCCATGCATTTAAAACCTGACTTCGTCCTTGTTTAAAATTTCCCCTTATTCAAACTGTCCCAGTTTGGAAGCCTTGCCTGCATTTTGCAGTTATACCAAGGGAGGTATATATCTTTCCTGCTTCTACATTTGTCTTCCTCTTTGCTCTTCTGTTGGAATTTGCTGCCTGTCTTTTTAAACAGCAAGAGCTGCCAATGCAGATGTTCCAGTGAGTACGTGCAACACGTGCTTCATGTGAAGTATCATCTTGCCAACAATTTAAAGTAACAGAACTCAGTTTTAATAGGTCCTTAACCAAATGAGTGGATACTCTGAATGAAAATCGTGGCCCTATTGAAATCCAAGGGAGTTTTACCACTGACTTGATCGTACTGGGATTTTTCATCCCGTTTTTTGAAATGATAGTGGTGCCATAAAGTCAGTAAATTTTACAGGGATAAAACCAAGAAAATTTCCTCCCCACTTTCCCCTTACTAAACTATTCCCCGGGATCTAAATACAGGCAGTCCCCGACTTACGCGGATCCGACTTATGTCGGATCCGCAGTTACGAACAGGGCTGCCCCGGAGTACACGGACTGCGGGACCTCGCAGTCCCGCTGCCCGTGTACTCCGGGCGAGAAAAGCTGCTGCTCCGCGTCTCCCTGGTCTGCAGGGTTCCCTGGTCTGCCTGGT